TCCTTGAAATATGATTTGTAGATTGACAATCTGCGCCATAATGATCGACAAAACCTGGCACAGAATTTTTTTGTGCAAGTGTCTATAGCGTTAGTTTGAAATGATTAACTGATAACGAAACGAATCAAATAAATAAATAGTATTATTCTAAAAGAAAAATGAGCTGGTAAAATTTGAAATATATCGTTCTATAATTTAAGCGCTGCAATTTACCTTTTTTTCGGGTTAATGCAGGAAAGGTACAACAAAGGCATTCGGTCGCTTACCGCAAAGAATAGCCACAAAAACAGGTTTTCGATCAGGCATGCATTAATAGTTTCTTTAGTCATTTAAAGAAAGAGTAAAAAAAAGATTTACTCGTAATAAAAGGTTATCTACGCGCAGAATTGATTAGTTGTTAAAAATGAACTTAAATAGACTAAAAAAGAAAAGATATATCACATTGAGCTCACAAAACTTTATTTAACAGAAACAAAAGATCTTCGGTTTGACGATGTACAAGTTAGATTTAATGAGTTGACCAAACAAACTGAAAAATTACATAACGATGCTAGAAAGTTTAGAGATGAAATTTCAAGTTAGTCGCTTTTTTTATTTATTTATTTATTTTATTTTATTTTTTATTTCAGCTTAATAAAAAAAGCAATTTATAGATATGTTGAATCATCAAGCAAATTTTGCCGATCTCCTTGTCGAATTATATAGCCCAATTATCCCTGAAGGTGCGTTAGAAGGAGCAGTAACCCGTCGTGCAAAAACTCCGGTCCAAACTATGAAAGCTGCTGAGGAGTATGCAACATTGATGTCCAAAGTGAGAAATACTATACTAGAAGAACTGGTGAGTTCCCAATTCCAATTAATAATATTAAATAAATCAAAATTTTTTGATATTTATTAAAAGCATTTATGATCTATTAGGATTCTGTAGATCGTAGGATTATCTTTCCAGCTGCAGAATTTTTAGATATTATAAAATTAATAAAAAAGACTGTAACAAAACGAGAACATAAAAAAGTTGATTACGACCGATTCCAAAATCATGTTAAAAAGCTTAAAGACAAGAAGGATAAATCATTGAGTGAGGAAAAACAATTACATAAGGTATTAAATTTTGAATAGGTTTGTTAGGTAATTATGCTTATATTTACGTTTATTCTTATTGATAGTATGAAGATCAACTTGAACATGCAACGCAAGAATACGAGCATTATAATGACATGTTAAAAAAAGAGTTACCACTTTTTTTCGAATATAGAGTTGAATTCATCGAGCCAATATTTGAATGTTTTTATCATATGCAATTGAGAATTTATGGATTTTTATTCGAGCAATTTGAACAATTAGCAGAATTGGGTTACTTTGATTTCGAATCTGATATAATTGATTGTTTTGAAAAGAAAATAGCGGATGCCAAGGAACAATTAGAAGATATAACTTTGATTAAACGAGGAAAACATGATAAGAAACAGGATGGTGTGTTATTGTTATACTTTTATGTTTTTAACGCACTGATTTTCATAATTGACACTTTAAACAATTTGTTTGAAAGAGAGTTCGCGTAAACAAAGTCCTGTTCGAGAGTCTACACGTGCACGTTCTGCAGGACGTACACCGATTTATTCCAATGAAGATGATCATTATGACGAGGACGATGAGCCTCCTGCATACACTCCTACACCTGTGAAAACTAATTCAAAACTTTATCCGACTCCAAAAGTGCCACCACCACCGCCACCAGTTTCCAGAAAGCCAAAACTTGTACGATATGTAGTTGCTTTGTATGATTACGATGCAACTGCTGAAGGTGATTTATCTTTCCGAAAAGATGATAAAATTGAAGTTGTCGAGCGAACGGCTGATGCGAATGATTGGTGGACAGGGAAGTTGAATGGTGTTATAGGTGTATTTCCTGGTAATTTTAATATCTGGATTCTTTTCTATATTATTTATTCTAGAATCACTGCTAATTTATATTTTTTTCAGGTAATTATGTTGCCGAGTTGTAAATTTATGTTTCATTTAATTGGATAATTTTTGAGAAGGGATTTACTGCTATTAAAAAAAACTAATTTGAATATCAGATTCTTAATTATATTATGTTCTGCCACATTAAGATCTTATCATTGTACACTCATATTAATACTTGGCAAATTGATAATTGTCATATTTATTATTAATAATAAATATCTAATTTATAATTTTAAAATTAATTACTCTTAGAATCAGCTTTACTAAATCACACCAATAATGTTTAAAACCACAGTTGTTATATAACAAAAACTAGCTAAGTAACTAATACTTTACGTTCCAAGTAAAAATGCTCATCGTCCTAAAACCCTTACTAACTTCATCCTAACCCTGACTTTTAATCTCCAATTACTGGTCTTTAATCCAAAATTTTAATGATAAAATTACTATAAAAATATATACGTCATTGACTGAATTACCACATTTGTGCGAATAACAATTTTATAAGAAAGATCTTTGACGGAATTATTAGTTTTCCTTAAATTGTATGTCTCGAAATAATGCCCATGGACGTTATTTCGCACAAATCGATAAAAATTTTTTTAAAAATTATGTAGAAGAAAATTAAACTTTTATTTTAATTATTCATGTTTTATTGTAACAATTAATGATCAGATTCTGGAAGAGAACTCGGTTCAGAAGCATTAGCTTTGCTTTCACCAATTGATTTCTTTATGAGTAACCTATTCATGACACCAATACTTTTAATACCACCTTTCTCATTCTTCAATTGAATTCTTTTCAATCTTTCTTCAAGTTTTATCGCTTTTTCTTTTAGTTTTGCTTCTTTATAAGCTTGCCTAACTTTAAACGGCTTTGGTCCAAATTCATTATTCATCATCAACCTTCCTCTATCTAAAAGAAGATTTTTATGCACGACAAATCTAGGCCACTCCAAACCGGCTTTCTGTGTTGGAACATATTTTAAAGCTTCTCTTTCCCAAAAAATTTTAATTCTGCTAGTTTCATTATTTTCCATGCCTTTCAACCCTAATTTATTTAACGCGTAACATAAATTACAAATACTTTTATCAATTTGGTCCATATCTTCAATTTGTCGAATCTTTCGAGCAGTTTGTTTATAGTTGGGTGGTTTTGGATATCTATCAAGTTTATCCCGAACTACGTTATTAATGGCTGTTACAGAGCCATAACTAGAGAAACCCGTTACTGCTACGATAGGTTTCCAAAAATCTCTACGAATTTTATGTGGACGTAGTTTTACATCTTTGATTTGTTTTAAATATCTGCTCTACAAACAAGGAAAACTACTAATTTAAAACACGTTTAATTGTCCTACTATTCCTTAACTTTAATTAAATAAATACCTTTAAATTTCTTCCTATAGTTAATAAAACTTGTTTTGTATTAATGTTAGCATATATAAAGAATTGATCCAATCTTCGTTTACAATTCAATATATCAAAAGAAGATTGATTCACATTCTTAATAAGTGGTCGACTACTATTTATCATTTTCTGGAAAACTAAAAAAAAAAAAAAAATCCAGAAAAATATGTATGTGTCAATCAGAGACCCAGAAAATTTCCGATAAAAATTTTTTAAGTGAGTGACCCTTCAACCCGGTTTTTTCCTGTCTATAAAAAAAAAAAAAGATACGAGATTTTTTAAGTTACTCGAGAACAAATAGCAATAACTTGTAAAAGGGATTAATTTTGTGTGGTATAATAATAAATATTATTATTATACGTCTGTAAAATAATGAGAAATAAAGTGCATAAAAGAACTAGTAAAATATATTTATATATATATATAATAAACTTGAAAGTTTCGTTTATTATTGACTGTAAATTTGGCACAAATTCAATTTATTATCGTGATGGAAAATTTCTGGGTAACCGGCAAAGTTTGTACGCGTAAATCTTGACACGATTAATAGTTTTGCAAAAATAGACTACTATTTCGTATCTAACTTTTCAGATAACTAGAGTTTTTGATTATGTTTATTGGAATAACGGGTCCCATTTGTTCCGGAAAACATACTATTGCTGAATGGCTTGTTTCTGTACACGGATTTACACCTCTCACTCTTCGAGGCAATGACAACTATAGACTTGACGCGTTACACTTTGAAACGCCAGACGGCCTTTTAGAATATGTCACAAAGAATTGGATAGATAATTTTGTAACGTGCGATATTGATACTCTATACGTATTAGAAACATATAGGTAATTTCCACACGTAATCTTTTTAAAATAATTATCAATCTTAACAGTGTTCTTTATCAATAGAAAACGACCTTTTTTCTTATTATTGGCAGTGGATGGTCCATTGACAATCCGATATCAAAGGTGCCTGACGCGGTGAGGATTAATTTGAAAATGATAATATAATACTTGTTAATAAACTGTTTTCAACTATCAGTGAATGATTAAATTTTAATGCAAAAGCTGTCAAGAATTAGGTCATCAACCACCAACTTTAGAAAGATTTGTGATCGAAAATGATAAAAGATTATTTAAAATAGTCACACCAACAAATGAATTTATACAAAATGATCAAGATCACGCATTAAATTTGGATGACTTTTCAGTCTCTTCAATTTATAATTTTATGACTATGGCCGATCTAATTGTTGTGAATTCTTTTTTATCGTTACAACTACTCTATGCACATCTTCATAGTCTCAATATTACTAATTCTGAGAGATTGCGACCTTCGTGGGACACATATTTTATGCACTTATCAGATCTAGCAGCATTAAGATCAAATTGTATGAAACGTAGGGTTGGCTGTATATTAGTTAAAGACTTTAGAGTAATCGCGACTGGATATAATGGTACAGCAAGAGGGTTAAAGAATTGTAATCAAGGTGGTTGTGAACGTTGTAATGACGCGGTCCCATGTGGAAAAGAATTGGATACTTGTTTATGCTTACATGCAGAAGAAAATGCATTATTGGAAGCAGGAAGGGAAAGAGTTGGACAAGGTAGCATTCTTTATTGTAACACGTGAGTATAGATTGATATGATCAAATTAAAAACAAGCATGAGAATTCCATATATTATTTTATATTGGAATTTCTCACCTCTAAAAGCACAAGATTAATAGTTGTTTTTTTTTTTTTTTTAAGGTGTCCGTGTCTTGGTATGTAAATATGCTTTCATCAATTTTTATTCAATTGGTTAGATCTTATAATTGAAATATTTTAAGGATGCTCGGTAAAATTAATTCAATCGGGGGTTACTGAAGTTGTCTATAACAAGTAAGGAATGGATATTATGAAATATTGATGATTGTAAAGTTCATTTCATTTAATTACTGATTTAAATGCATGCATAATTGTTCATGCACAAATCTCAAAGGACCTATGGCATGGATGGTTTGACCTCTAAGCTTCTTAAAGAAGCTGGCATAAAACTACGACAACATTCGCCACCGACAAAAAGATTGGTGTTGCAAAAAAGTGATTATATGAGTGGTATCACGAACATTGGTGATATTATGATGTAAATGCTTCGATCAACAATAAAATTTCCAATATTGACCAAGTACCATATTACAACTGAAATATTGTTTAATAAGAGGACGATTGAATAGTCGTCTGTTCGATATCAGACTTTCTTAACAGTGAAATGGCAGGTATTTAATCTAACTTTTTTTTTATTAGTGACAATTTGATTACTAAATAAATAATCTAAAGGGATATCCGGGATTTTTTAATCTAAAAATAGCAAATAAAAGGCTAAATGTAGTAAATAGAGTTCCCATCCAAATCTATAAAATTAAGGACCATATACATTAAACGAGATTTATTCGAAAAATATGTTCTAAAAACAGTAATTAGATGTACTTACGTATATTCCTAATCGTTGTTTATTCTTATCTTCAATTTTTGGTATGTTCTGAATTAATGCTACTACTGAAAATGAGCAAACACCATCTACATAAATTGTAAGATTGTTATTTGTTTTTATATATGTATATATATTTGCATGACGAAATTTACAAAAAATGAGTTTAACGTACACATTATAGCTATAAGCTGACTTTCAATGCCAAATTGGCTGGAGAAGCCGTGTGCGATGTAACTAACTTGCGAGTTTTGATAATACACATATGGAGGGCCACGAATATGGTTCCACATGTGCCCAGAAATCATCATAAGTATTACAACCTGCAAAAAAACATTTATGATTAAAAACATTCTTACGATAATATCTATGTAAAATATGGCGTAGTCGATGAACGTTCATATAATATTGATATATATATTAAAATTTTCAAATCGATTAGACGTTCATGCAAAAGCTTTAGCTATTTGAAAATTGAAATATGGTACATGATTTCAGACTATTAGCGCAACATTTACATACTTATGGACACAAACAATAAGAAGCATTACTCGAATATTCTAATTCTGGTCAATATAGTGCCATAAGTCATGTGAATGTTACTTCCGTATTTTCTGATCAACCAATCAGAATTGAGGAAAATGATGACAGAGACGTCAGATGTATTACCATATTTTACCGTATAAACCATTTACAGTATACAATAGTAAAAAAAAGAAATTATCAATACTATCGTGGAGAAGGTTTACACGGCACAATATGGTATTGCACTATCTGTTCTGTCCTTCGGACAACATAATTTGAAATGATTATTGTTTTCACGTAGCGTAACATAAAATTTTTCACACATTGTTTTGGCGAAAAAATCATAAACACTTGCCAATGATATCGCAGCCCAGGTGTTTTTGTTCCGTACAACTGTCTCTATAAGAGGATACATCAGCTTTATAAAAGCAAGCGCCCCAAGTATTAAAAATACCGTCAATAATATAGCGAAATAATTAAGAGGTCTGTTGACAGGAACTGGAGTACCCAAAACGCCCGATAAATAAGACGCGAATGCTTCAGCAGAAAAACCACTAGGAAATAACATTTACGAAAGAAAATTTAGTAATTTCAATATTAAAAGATAAATCATAAATACTTACTATTTGTTGAATTCATATTTATAAGGCTCAGAAACATCTTTAGCATATGGACCAGTGGATGGAGAAAAATAGAACAAAGTAGGAGCATTATTCAAACCAAGCTAACAGATAATATAAAAATAATAATTTTTAAAAGCGTAAAATTGTATGATAATATGTACAAGAAATTGAGAAATATAAGTTACTTTGGTATAAATTTCCCGACCATTTTTAAAATCTAAAACACCAAAATACAAACGAGAAGGTTCGTTCCCAGACTTTAACCAGCTACTTGCAACTAATCGGAATTCGGGGTCAAATTCTCTGTTTACGTTATTAAAATTATTTCGGTTTATTCAGTTTGCACAATATTTCTCGTAGAATACGTAACATATCAATTATTCTGACAGTTTTTATTTTAATTAATATAAACAGAAGGTAAAACTTACTTGCATGGTATACAATTAATTTGTGGATCTAAGGCTGTCAGTAATATAGCCATAGAATAATTTCTAGGTTTAGCAACGAATTCATCGTATAAATTTGAATCAAGTTCGACTACACCCAAGTTTTGACTCGAAGCTTGGTTAAGTAGTGCAACCTTTGTTTCTAACGAAGGTTTTGCAGCATAACATGATAATAAAAGTATAAAAGAGGAAAGGATTATAAAGAAGAAAGTTCTAACATCCATGTGTTAAAAAATCAAAAATAAGCTTTGGGCTTACGCTAATGCTAATACGTACTGTAGAAATATTTTATCTAACCAATAAAATATTGCCAGATATGGTATGAGAAATCTCGTTGCGTTTTTGGTAATTAGCGTTAGCGTTAGGGAAACAGGAAAAACCGTCGATGTTACACGACTGTCCAGGTGAGACCGTCCCAAATTAGCGGCCGTTCTACGGGCACCAGAGATAGCATTTCTGAAATCTGTGACAGGTTAATCAATTACATGCCTGACTCTATCACGGCGGCATAAAAATTGACCCCGATTATACGTATGACAAATCATTATGCCATTGTAGCATAAAATTATTACTAATCAAAAAAAAGAATATTTCCTTTCCCAATAATAAAATTTTAACACTATAGTCAACTAAATATAATTGAAAACGCATAGTTAACCTTAATTTTTTTTCTTTTATCTCAATTCGTAGAAGTTCATCTAACATTTGCACAAATTTGTCAATTTATTTGAATTTGAAATATACAAAAGATATGGAAGGCAAAACTACAAAATTTTCTCAGAATAATGATTCACATTATGAGTAGCACACTAATCAGAGCAGAGATTTTTGCTTTCACAAAGAAAATGATTACAGATTCTTAAACTTATTTTAGCTTGAAAAAAAAGTTCATAAATTAAGTTTAAATATATTATAATAAAATTTATTAAAAACTAGTAAGCTATAGTAATTTTTAATAGTATGAGTATTAAGTAGAAGATCTTTTATTTAAAGGAAAATAAAATAAATAATAATAATTAAAAATAAGAAATAAATATTTAAAAATGAAATTTAAATTCAATAGCTTCCTAGATACTATAATGATTTTTATAATAAGCCAGTTGTAAGGAAGATTTGATCTATTGTTTTTTTTGTATTGGTCAGACTTAACAAATAGTTTATCTTTTACAATGATTACTTATACTAGACTTAAAAATATCCTAAGACACTAGAAGAGGTAATTAGTAACAGATAATCAGGCTGTTTTAAGTTATATATAGTTTTTTAAATTTCAATAACATAAAACTAGTATCTATTAAAATACTATTCACAAATACAGTTATTACTTTATATTATTATAAAAAAGAAAAATAAAATATTCAATAATATAAAGCTTAGTTATACACAACTCTTTCTGATGATCATCTGGACCAAACCTTTTAAAATGCCGAACTACAGAAAAATGATATAGTTAATATATTAAACTTTATGAAAACTTCTCTGGAGTACTGGACATGCATAGTGGACATTGAAATAGAGTTGAAAAAGAAGCTATCACTTTATGATAACAGTTTAAAGAAGCTCTGAAACTATAGAAGAAGTGGTTGGTAAAAGTCAAAAGTCTCTCATAAAGTAAACAACAGTATTGGATATATTAGTTCTATACAACTATAAAACCTACAAGGAACTTCCAAAAAGGTTAAACATTCACAAAAGTTATAGTTTGGTTCACCTCATACCTTCTCTTTTTCTCAAAGAAAATTTTGTAAAAAGTAGGTAATTTAGTTTATCCTCTCCAAAAGATCGACATGTAAAACACCAAAACAGTCAGCAGTATCTACTTCCTAATCAGGATTGTGTAAACAATACAGCAATACAAACACGACTCATACACATGCCTCGAACCACTGAAACCCTGTGAAATACTGTTCTTAGACTAATTGATACCTATGCCGACTTTCAACATTCAAGTCGAAGTTTTATCCTATATAGTTTTTGTTAAATATTCTAGTAGATAGAAAAATAGTAGAGTTATTTCTATTTAGTATAGTTTATAATTTTTAAAAGCTTGATACAGGCTTATAATTGTGACCATCCGATGGTGGTGTGGCAAGAGTCACACATATTTTTTCTTTTGTTCTTATTTCTTACCTTTCCCTCTTTTATTTCTTGCATTTGTATCTTTTATCATCTACCCCTATACCTCTGTGTTTTTTTTTTATATATAAGTTTTTTTTGTTTTTGTTCACTTCTCTATGAGAAGATATTATCAGATTGGCATATTCTATTGTAGAGCGATGGTCGGATGCAGTCTCTGACGTACTCTAATTTTTTTTGAAATTAGATAGTCAGTGCAGGCAGATCGCTCGTAGGGACTCATAGAAGCATCTGCAGGATGTTGGGCCAGAATTTATGAAATAATTTGTAGATATGTAATACAAAAATACATAATAAAGGTGACTAGCAAGACTGCTCAAGTGAAGGAAAAAAAAAAATAATAATATAAAGCTAGTATTTGCTAAATAACTAATTAAGAAAACCAGCTTTTTATTTTATATTATTATAAGAAAAAGAAGAAGAATAAAAGAATAATATAAAGCTAATACATTATTTAATAATCAGACACATTCATCGAACTCTTCCCACTGATCACTCAAACACAAATTCGGCAAAAAACAAAAATCAACTTTACGCAAAAAACAGCTGTCTGAATCACTCTGGTAGAACTAAGTAAAAAAGAAGAGCATCTAGAAAAGGTACAAGAAAAGAAGAGGCAGCTAAAAAATAAGTAGACTAACTAAAGGAAAACAAGAGAAACCAAAAATT